GCTGAAGCTCTGCCGGAGCAACGTGGCCCTTGCCACTCCAGCCAAGGCCGAGAACTGTTTGCAGCTGTGGTGGGCCTTGGCTTTGGTCAGGGCTATACTAGGCACGCAAAGGCTGTTTTACTGGAAGAACATACACCGGGAAGGTTCCATAGGCTTCCAGTATTCTTCGAATTAGCACAGGATACGCCGGAGGAATGGAGGCAAATGGATCTTAATATGGGGCCGGTTCGATAGGTCTAGCAAGCATATACTAACTAACAAAATCATCGACTAAAGCCTATAGCCATCTAGGAGAATAGATTTTAAATATATAACGGGCTAAGGATTTCTACAACCAGCTTCTTTAATGAGCTGAAATAGTTCCATATAGAGTAATGACCTAACAGACCTACTCAGACCGTCTCCGCTCAATGGCCAAAGTCATGCGCACTACCTTCTGCATGTCAACGGCATAATTAGATTAGCAAATATCTGGACGCCACATAGAGCTATGTCTATTCTCCAGCAATTCACCCGGACTATTAAACCGGGCAATTCTGGCTAAATAGGACCTACGCCAGTTCCTGCATTGGCTTGGCATTTTACCCCGGTAGCGCGGATGCAGGCTGAACGGGCCGTGCGGCCGTGACTGGCTCGCAGCCAGTCAGAAAACTACCGAAAGACCCTTCGGATTGAATCATATTCATCTGCCGAAATATAGGGCTGCACGCGGATTTCTTCAGGTATCCGTGATTCTTCAGTATGCTCTCCGCATCGGTTAGGGAGATGTCTCAGCGCCACCGACCGATGGCTTGTTTAGCTCTCTCGGCATCGGCGTATACTTGCAACTTTCAAGTGATTCAGTGGCCCGCTGATATAATGCTGACGGATCCCCTATCCCAATACAGAACGGAGTATGGCTTCGTCTGGTAGCTTGCTTGGACATTGCGACCAAATTGATCCATCTTCCGGAACCAAGAATTGGCGTTGGTAGTTCAAAGACGGCGCTGCTTCCGAGGACAACGCGGAGTGTATATGTGAGCCAGGGAGAATGACAGTATAAAGCCTGCCCATCGTCCAGACTAGCAGGATGGCAGTCAGAGCATTTCAACACAAACCGACATCTCTTTGGCTACCGTTGAATATCCCAGTGTCAGAATGCACTATACGGTATCTCTCGCATTGGCGCTTTTGCCATTTGGAATCCAAGCTCAGCAAACCCTTTGGGGACAATGTGGGGGTCAAGGATATTCAGGGGCCACCAGTTGCGTGGCTGGTGCAGCATGCTCAACTATCAATGAATGTAAGAGTTCCTTCTATACATCTTACTGTTCCACAACTGAGTGACCATGATCATTAGACTACGCCCAGTGTACGCCAGCGACAGGCTCGGCCTCTGCCACTACCTTGAAGACAACTACTAGTACTACTACTGCTGCAGTGACGACAACAACTGCTACTAGCAGCCCTGCTGCCTCTGCCTCGCCGACTACCACGGCCAGCGCTAGTGGCAACCCGTTCAGTGGGTACCAGCTCTACGTGAACCCATACTACTCATCGGAAGTCGCATCTTTGGCCATCCCATCGCTCACTGGCTCTCTTTCCTCGCTCCAGGCGGCGGCAACCGCCGCAGCCAAGGTGCCTTCTTTCGTATGGCTGTATGCTTCCTCGTTCCACAATGTGATTTGTATTAGCGTCGTGCTAACACATTCCAGGGATACCGCCGACAAAGTTCCTACCATGGCGGACTATCTGGCCGACATTAAATCTCAGAATTCTGCCGGAGCGAACCCCCCTATCGCGGGGCAGTTTGTGGTGTACGACCTCCCTGACCGCGACTGTGCCGCTCTCGCCAGTAACGGCGAGTATTCGATCGCGGACAACGGGGTTGAACACTACAAGGCCTACATTGATTCCATCCGCGAGGTTCTTGTGCAGTATTCGGATGTTCATACCCTTCTGGTGATTGGTGAGTGTCTCCTCACTCTATTCGACTATGACATGCTGTATCTGAACGCTAAATGTCACCTCCAACAGAGCCCGACAGTCTCGCCAACTTGGTGACGAACCTGAACGTAGCCAAATGTGCCAATGCTGAAAGTGCCTACCTTGAATGTACGAACTACGCGCTAAGTCAGCTCAATCTCCCCAACGTGGCCATGTATCTTGACGCCGGTAAGCTGCGCATCATCCTCCATCCCCCTGTTAGTCCCTCTGGACAGCTTCTTACCAAATAATTTGAAGGACACGCCGGTTGGCTCGGCTGGCCCGCAAATCAACAACCCGCCGCCGACCTGTTTGCAAGCGTCTACAAGAACGCCAGTTCACCCGCGGCGGTGCGCGGCTTGGCCACCAACGTCGCCAACTACAACGCCTGGACCATCTCTTCCTGCCCCTCCTACACCCAGGGAAACAGCGTCTGCGATGAGCAACAGTATATCAATGCTATTGCCCCGTTGCTAGAGGCGCAGGGCTTCGACGCCCACTTTATCGTCGATACCGGTATGCGCAACCCCACACCCCGTCTTCCTCCTCCGACCTAACTCTGGCTAACATGAATCACTAACTTCTAGGCCGCAACGGCAAACAGCCCACGGGCCAACAGGCCTGGGGTGACTGGTGCAATGTCATCAACACCGGCTTCGGTGTGCGCCCGACCACCAGCACCGGCGATGCGCTCGTCGACGCCTTCGTCTGGGTGAAGCCTGGAGGCGAGAGTGACGGCACCTCTGACAGCTCGGCTACTCGATATGACGCGCACTGCGGGTATAGCGATGCCTTGCAGCCGGCGCCTGAGGCGGGGACTTGGTTTCAGGTATGTTGCCCGATCAAACTTGCTGGCTGTGAGTGGAATGATTGATCGGACTGACGGGGTTGTGTTTTTAGGCCTACTTCGTGCAGCTGCTCACAAACGCCAATCCCGCTTTCTAGAGGTGGAGTCACGAGCAGCATATCGCGATATATAACGCCGAGATGAGGGGTACAGTCAGTCTCATAGTCTGACGCTTTGGGAAATTTTGGTGCAGTACGTGGTGATATTTGCGATATCAAGTGAGGTAGGATATGGATGGTCCATTTAAGGCATGGAAGCGAGCATACGTATACGTTTCTGTCAGTATAAAGCAGCGGCTAAGTCAATAATTGGACTTTCCTATGTATCTCCACCAAGTACTAGATTGAGTTTCCTGGTCGTTTTCAAGCATTGACGTAACCTATGAATCTTGGAACGATGTCTCTAAATTGATTTAGCCTAAGCCTTAGTACTAGTGTTTGATCAAAGTCCCAACATAACTACTTACTAATATCAATGCTTGGATATTGATGAATATTGGCTGAAATCAGCACTTATCACTGTCCAGCTCAGCAACCCTTTACTGAACATTTTTCTTCGGGTCATGGCATTTATAATGTACAATTATACCGTATGGCGTTGCTTGATTTTGTATTATGGAACTAAAAAGGAAGGAAACATTGGAAGCAATGTGGGCATGATGGTAAATGGCCTCACCCGCCAACCGCCGGGGCACGTCACCTGTGTTCAAGCAAAACACCTGGGTAAGTGATCATTGAAAACCCTTTCTTGTAATTCCCAATTGCACTATATAATTTCTACTGTATAAGAAACAAGTACATACGACCACAGGGTGTGGAAAACAGGGCTTCCCGTCCGCTCAGCCGTACTTAAGCCACACGCCGGGAGGTTAGTAGTTGGGTGGGTGACCACCAGCGAATCCCTTCTGTTGTATGTTTTTTATTTGTTTACATTTGCTTCTTTTTTAGGCTGCCGGCTATCTGGAAGTGTGGGAAACCTAGGCTACACGGAGCTGGAACTGTGTACTCTTCAGCTTTGCAGCTTTCCAGCTTTCGCCGCCATCATCACACGTCGTCTCCAATCACAAGGAGGAGTTAGAGCTGACAGTTCAGGTCAGTCTCTAGCCTCCAATCAGCTCAATCAGAGCCGAGATCAGCGAAAGCGGCCGCATGGCCCTACCAACTCTAGACTCTCCCAGGGTCGAATCCGCAGGTCATGACCTCAGAGCTTCTCAAAGTCTAGAGCCCACAGTGATGACAGCTTTGGATCTCACACATGGTAAGCGATTGGCCATTATTGGAGGCAATTAGCCACGCGTTGGATGCCATATCGTCAGGGGCCGATTCAGACCTGAAAGGTGTGCAGAATACGCCATATGGGCTATAGATCCAGCATACAGCTACTTGACTAGACGATCAAGAGTACCCCAGCGCGTATCTATAATTGTACACATTGCTCATGCAAGTATTATTCAACACCCCGGCCGGCCTCATGCTTACCCTCCCCAGACTACTTTCAGCCCTCCCGAGACGTTGCACCTTATCTGCGGCAGCCGCAATCATCTCTGTGAGCCATAGTCCAACCATGTTTGGTACGCTGATTTCGACCGGCCTCGACCGGGAGACTCTGGAGTTCATTGAGAACCCAGATCCAGTTGCTGCAGTGAGCCGCAGCGTCCAAGACACTATACGTTTTGCTTGCATACATTGTCGATCGCGAAAGGTACGGCTGTTCCTATTCTGTGGTCCGTGCCCGCAACCACGGGTTGATAACGTCTTCCTCTCCAGTGTGCCGTGCCATTCAGCCCTAACAAAGTAGAATTATAGGTGCGTTGTTCGGGAGACGGCAAAAGATGCCACAGATGCGAGGCGATAGGATTGGAGTGTATTTATCCCGAGAGTCACGGGCGAAACAAGCGAAAGGACACCAACAAAGGCTCGCGGGCAGTACGTAACCGAACAGTTTGATGTACTTTACTTAACTACAGGAGTCGCTAATGCACTACATCGGACCAGGCCATTCGGTGTAACAACAGCGTCACCATTCGGACTGTATTCAATAAAGCAGATAACCAGGGAAACTCAGCCAAGACCTATCATTGGATGATTTGGACTGCAATAAGTTCAACGATGGCTGTATCGACGACTCGCTGTTTATGCCATGGATCATGGATACTTCCATACAGCAAAGCTCACCTGGTAGATCCAGATCAAGCAGTGGCGGCATTCAAATCCGTGAACCCTTTGCTTTCTGTTTGCTCTAGGCATCCTTGGCTGACATAGACGATAGCTGCCGCTGACCTGGCAGTAACGAGGCCTCCCTTTTCAGCAAGAAGGCGCAGTGCTACAGAGGCGGCGCAGGACCAGCTCCCAGGAATTCCAACGGCTGATCCCTCGTTTGTGTCGCTACTCTGGCCGTCGATAGCAGCAGCACAGGCAATGCCGAATGTTGGCAAGGTGTTCACCTGAGTCAAGACGATATTGTTTGGACGACGACTACCGATGTACATGCGACGATGGGCTCAATGTCCGAAACGCTACCCGTTGAACCCTTGGGCGAGACAAGTACAGAGTCCGACAACTGTTGTCTGTTAAATTCTGTCTCCTTTCTCGAACGGCTGTCGTCCAAAAGCTCTTCGCGCGAGGACCGCCTTGACCTGATCCTCGCTGGCCTACGCAACTCGATTGAGACTCTGGCCGTTTTCATCTCATGCGACAGATGTGCGACTCGAGTAGAGCAGAACATGCTGCTTGCCATGGCGGCTAGACAAATTGGGGTCATCTGCGGCAGGATGGCCAACTGTTGCAAGGCGATGCATCAGGGTAGTCTGAGCGATACAGGCTCCTCGCAGCGGGGAAGTGAGCCTGTCCCCTGTCCGATTCCGGTTGATATTTCGGTTGCCCACGTATCGCGTCAACCGACGTGAGAAGCTACACCTGCTCGGCAGCCTTATGGCGTTGCGTATAATGGATTTTCAAAGGCAAATCAATATAATCAAGTCTCGATATCACAATCGGCCAAATAAAGGGCAAGTAGAGGCCCTCAGTGAGGCAGAGAATTATGTCAAGTTGGCGCAGGTTCCGCTCAGCAGTGATTCATGACACGGTTAGATAGCGAGGATAAAGGAAGGTGACGAGTTGTGGATAAGCAGGGTGTGCAACTGTTTCATGCATAAATTAGAGGTGTCTTGCGCTATGTAGAGCCGACAGAAGGAGCAAACCAACAGCCATGCCCAGACGTGGAAAGGTACCAGCGTGGCTTACAATACAGATGTAGTAGGCATAGTTTATCGCATGGAGCCCTGAATAGACTGAGAAATGGCTCATCCATTCTCCAGAGAGATCGGGTGAGAACGGGCTGGCGGTGATCCTGTTCCGGTAACCCGCTGGTAATCTCGGGGGATACCGCAGCACACAAGGAGGTCAATCCGCATGTGCAAGTCCAATGGGTGCCGAGATCCAGTGAAGGGGTACTTTTCCTCCTAACCTGGACGACGGTTGTCTGTCTTTCTCCAAAATCCCCCTTCGATGGCGATCCCCCCAACGACAGGAGAAGATACTCTGCACATTCCGAGATACATCCGACGGTAATTTTCATCCTGTGCCGTCTCGAAGAAACCCAGGTCAAGATGTCTCGACCTGGCACTCCCTCGATGCTATTTTTCGACGTCTTGGGCACAGTCGTTGAATGGAGATTCTGCATTGCGAACCAGCTGAAGGCTGCAGCAGAAAGGGCCCTGCAAGACCAGGCTCGCGAGATTGCTGTGGATGTGCGAGGTTATGTCTCCGACCTAGCGCCCTCGACATGGAATGAAATCACAGACGAGTGGCACCGCTCGTATATGAATTTCGGACGCACCTTTGATCCATCCAAGCCCTTTGTCCCTGTAGACGAGCACAACCGCGTCTCTCTGGGCAATATTCTCACCGACAGGCGTCTGCGGGATCTTTTCAATGACGACGACCTCCAACACTTGACCCTCTGTTGGCATCGCCTTGATCCGTACGCGGACAGTGTTCAAGGCCTTGCGCTGCTCAACACCAAGTTTCCGACTTCCACGTTGTCCAACGGTAATGTCAAACTTCTCGAAGATCTAGTGGAGCACGGTTCTTTGCCTTTCAAGCATATAAGCAGTGCAGAGCACTTCAATGCTTACAAGCCAGCGCCAGAAGTCTATCATGCCGCTGCGCGCAGGTTCGGGTTAGAGACCTCGCAGTGTTGCCTTGTCGCCGCCCATCTTCACGACCTGCAAGCCGCCAAAAAGTGCGGGTTCCAGACAATTTATATCGAGCGACCTTTGGAAGAAGCTTGGGATGCGGAACGCGTTGCCCAAGCTAAACAAGAAGGATTTGTTGATTACTGGATCGGCATCGAGGGATCAGGTCTTTTGGACGTTGCTCGGTATTTTGGAATAGAGACAGACGTGTAGGTCCATGTCTTCGCCTACAATACACCCTTTGTGCGCTAGTTAGAATCATAGTTGTCTTCTAGTTTTATCGCCGCTCTTCCGCGCAGTAGAGAGTCTGGATATCAAACCAGCACGGCAATCTATTATTGTCCCTCCGCTTGCCGTTGTCATGCACGAGACTAGACCTTTATAACTATGTTAGGTCAACGCGCCTAGCCATGGTAGCATTTTGGACTTGCAAGACGATTTCCAAGAAGGTGGTCAGTATGAGATTTGTGTGAGGTCCTCGTCTCTATAATTGCCGGCGAAATTTGCTTGTCGTAAATTGGTAATCCCACAAAGCTACTAGTGCTGACGTATCGTGATCTCACAGGACTGGAAGTCAATATGTGGTGCTTTTAATCACTCTGTATTTTGCCTATATACTTTTCTTTATCAAACAAGCCTCGCCTGTGCGACGCGTCCTGAGCGCATCAGTAATTCAATGAGAGTCAATATCCCGGTAAATGTTATCCAATGAAGACCGAGTGCTTTTTCGGCAGCAAGATGATATGCTAATGAGAAAGATGCTTTACGGGAATATCAAAAGCGGGATAACTCATACAACGAGCAAAATGTGTTGAGGCATTTTGACCGTTGCATGGCATCACCTGAGTCTCTGCCAACTGGCACCGTCTTTCTGGTGCCATCAAAGTTGATCTAGATGTCTTGTATGGTGCAATGTTGCCGTAGAAGATCCCGTTGGACTGGTAGGAAAATGCGGCTCTTCAAGATGGACGATGAAATCCACTAGAAAGGTATCTTTATCATTTATACTTTACTTAAATATCAGACCCCTCATCGGGGCAGCTTAGATACATGAATGCTTTCTTTAGATATTCTGTCTATCCGATGTTTGGTTGGTATGCTATTGAATTCCGGGTGGTGCGGTCCTACTAGTATCGCTATACAATCATTATTCAAGCGAGTATATCTATTTCAATTCATACAGATATCATTCCTAATGGTCAGGTACTGAGTCATACTAAACAGCCGCAGCCGCAATCGCAGCCGCACGACGCTCGGACCGACCGCCATGCGTGAAGGCCTTCGCTTTCGGCGTTTGGCCCAATGACAACTCACGTCACCTGAATCCCTGCCTGGTGGCGGGCCTTTTATTGCGTCGAGTCACATCAACTTGGAGGGGTTTCCTCCTCCATCCACCCATCACCCCGTCCCAAGTCTTCGCCATGGCTGAGCTCATAACCCGTAATGGCGATCCCTTTGACCGTACACTCTTTGAGTCGCTATTAAAGCGCCGACTTTTCTATACAGAATCTTTCGAAATCTATCGAACCTCTGGAAATCTTAAGGGCGATAGCAGGGGTCTCTACGATTATGGACCTCCCGGATGTGCGCTCCAGTCGAACATTGTGGACTTATGGCGGAAGCACTTCGTCCTTCAGGAGGATATGCTAGAACTTGATTGCACTATTCTCACGCCGGAGGAGGTCTTCAAGACAAGTGGTCATGTTGATAAGTTCGAGGACTGGATGTGCAAAGATTTGAAAAAGGGGGACTTCCTACGTGCTGACCACCTCATCGAGGCTGTCCTTGAGGCAAGACTAAAAGGAGATAAAGCAGCTAGAGGAATTGCTGGTGAAAGTGATAAGGCCGATGGCGCAGGCAAAAAGAGAAAGAAAGGTTCCAAAGTGAGCGACATCAGAGCGATGAAGCTGGAGGACTCTGTTGTGTCAGAATACGAGGAGGTCCTCGCCAAGGTATGAATGATTGACGGCTCTACCATTCCTTCCTACAATTTATGGTGGGTTTTTAGATTGATAACTACGATGGACCAGAACTCGGTGCGTTAATCGAGAAGTACGACATTCGAAACCCGGATGGAGATACACCGGTATCTCAACCGGTACCCTTCAACCTGATGTTCAAGACAACAGTGGGACCTAGCAGTGCTTCCCCGGGATACCTCCGACCAGAGACAGCCCAAGGCCAGTTCCTTAACTTCAAGAAACTCCTGGACTACAACCAGAACTCGATGCCATTTGCGTCTGCCTCAATCGGAAAGTCATTCCGCAATGAAATTTCCCCTCGTTCTGGTCTACTCCGCGTCAGAGAATTTCTGATGGCTGAGATAGAACATTTCGTCGATCCAGAAGGCGGCAAGAAGCATCCTAAATTCAACTTGATCAAAGATCTACAGCTCAGCTTCCTTGACCGCGCAACCCAGCTTGGCGGTAAGACCAGTCTCAAAAAGACCACGATCGGAGACGCAGTAGCCAGTAGAATGGTAGACAATGAAACACTGGGATACTTCCTAGGCCGCATCTATCTCTTCCTGCTCAAGATTGGCGTCGATGCGAACAAAGTCCGATTCCGCCAACACATGGCAAACGAGATGGCCCATTATGCCACTGACTGCTGGGACGCCGAGCTCCAGACCACCTATGGCTGGATTGAATGTGTCGGATGTGCGGATCGCAGCGCCTACGATCTGACCGTGCATTCTAAGAAAACTGAAGAGCCACTTGTCGTCCGTGAATCCCGGCGTGAGCCACTGAAAGTTGAAGAGTGGCAAATTGACATCAACAAGCCCAAGCTGGGACCACTCTTCAAGAAGAATGCTAAGGCTGTTGAAGCGGCGCTCATCTCGCTTTCCCAGTCTGAGCGGGAATCCCTAGCTACGACTTTAAAAGGAAATGGTATCGTTTCTGTCACGGTCCCCGAGATGGCAGAGAAGGTTGAAATCTCCAAAGACTTGATTAGTGTCGTCAAAAAGACGAGGATTGAAAACATCCGTGAATACATTCCCAATGTTATTGAGCCATCCTTTGGTATCGGCCGTATTTTCTACAGTCTGCTGGAGCATGTTTATTGGCATCGTTCTAACGATCCCGCCCGTGGTGTATGTTCCTCCTCCTTCTAACTTCTGCTGGACTATCTTCCTGTCCAGTTTCATCTATATGAGCTAATGTGCTATATCAGGTTCTATCCCTTCCCATCTCGGTGGCGCCCACGAAAGTTCTCATTGTCCCTCTCTCCACTCACCAAGACTTTGTTCCCCTAACAAAGAAACTCACTGAGGATCTCCGTGAATTGGGCATATCTTGCCGCGCTGATGAGTCTTCTGCAAGCATTGGAAAGAGGTATGCCCGCAACGATGAATTGGGTATTCCGCTCGGTGTAACGATCGACTTCGATTCTGTGAAGGATGGAACGATTACGCTGCGTGAGCGTGACAGTACCAAGCAAGTCCGCGCCTCTAAAGAGGAAGTTTTCAGTGCTGTTGAGTCTCTTATGAGCGGGAAGGAAAAGTGGGAAGATGTGTTTGCGCGACTTCCTGAGTTTTTGGGTCAGAGTGGTGATGAGTAGGACTCCACATTGTAAATACTGCAATTATACATAGCATGAGTCTAGTTCCTTTCGATGCTCTTCCCTGAATCCACACTACCTGGCTGGAAAACGATTTACCTCCTTCTCACCACTCTTCCTACTCTGCAGTACTTCCTTTCAACATCAAAAAAACGTCAACAAGATACAAAAATAGAATGAAAAACATACAACAGAAGGGATTCGCTGGTGGTCACCCACCCAACTACTAACCTCCCGGCGTGTGGCTTAAGTACGGCTGAGCGGACGGGAAGCCCTGTTCTCCACACCCTGTGGTCGTATGTACTTGTCTTTGCTTTAATTATTTTTATATAGGACATCTCAGATGAATCCTAATGATATGGGAGATCACTGGCAGTCATGGGTTATATTCTGCTCTCTTTCTCCTGCCCATCACTGGGGCAGTAGCATAGTTATTTCCTACCCTACGATATAATGGTCTGTAAGCAGAAGAGCAGTTAGATCAGTCTCGCGCAGTGAGATAGACCTGGGAACCTGCCAGTAGTACAGGCTACTGTCGAGGTGAGTGATTTTGAGCCGTTGCAGATTGAGAAAGAAGGTAATCCACCGCTAGGAGGCAGTCGCGCATCGTATCCGGGGAGAAGGGGACCCATTGCCCTGCGGGAAAGGAACTTCAGCACACCCAGCCGGCTTCACGACCAATACCAGGGTACCAAGGCATGCAAGCACAGGGCCCCCGACTCATTTTCGGTCATCCGCAGCTGTTGATCCCTCACATTTTACTACGGTACCGAGCTTCGATCTGAGCCTATTACTCCATTCAAGTTTTCTAGGCCTCATTCTTCTTTCGGACCGTGTGCACGGGCAGTTGATGGTCGTAAACTAGCCTATCAATGCTTTGATCTCCCGGCCCCGAGTGTTGGCTTGTATTCATCTCTTCTGCAGCTGGCGCTGCGGAGAGCAACCGAGGCGTGATCCGCTCTTGTCGTTTATCTCCCGTGCTGTACTCGGCAATAATTAAACACAATAGATAACCCGAGAAGCCGGATGAGCATACCATTATAGCAGATGATGGGGAAACCAAATCGCATGCCGCAGATCTCTCAAGCTCTCTAAATTGAGCCATATTACTCCGAGATCCCATGTTCGAAGGAGGACTGTCGCACATAAGGTTGTACGTCAGTCACCATAGGTTTCTTTTCCTTTTTTTTTTTTTTTTTTTTTTTTTTTTTTTCCATGTAAAGGATGTTTTGATCTAACCAATACTATATTGCTTGAAAAGGTGTGTACATTTAGTACAAGGAGCGGCGAGAACATACTCTTTTTGTCTCAACGAAACTGCATGGGAGGTCTAAATATACTTCGCCCTATTTTTATACATTTGCTCTAAATCACTCCACGTGAAGCCCACCTTTTCAGCTATCTGTGCGGCGCCCTTCTCTTCGCTGATAAGCGTTTCTGTATTATTGATTGATACGACAGTATCTGCACCGTTGAGGATAAGACATTTCATGAAGAAGGCTGCTTCTACGGAGGTCTTCTTCGAAGCCACATAGAGCGGTGTTTGACCGTTTGCGCGTCCTGAAGAAGAACAGAAGTTGATCGGCGCCTCAAGCCGAAGCAAATGCTCCGCCAAAGCAACTGAGCAGCTTGATCGGGCCACTCGAAGCAGCAATGTGCCTAAAATATCCCAGGACATATATCGCCGGAATCGCGTCAGGAGGCACTTTATTCTGGTCTCTTTCAGCCCATTGCCCTGGACCTCCGTAAACAAAGATTGTCTAAGGAGCGAGGTAAACAGATAGTCACTATGGTGTGGTCTGATGCGTAGCTTATCAACTTCCCTTTGTATGTACCTTTCCCATCGAGTAAAGATATCCTCTCGCCTCACTTTTATGACCACCTTCATCATATTGGGCCAGTCTGCTAGTGAAAGGTTATTATATGCCCATTCGGAAAAGTCTGCATCTTCGCTAGCCACCGCAGCGGCCAAGACCTTGAAGGGTACTTTTGTCTCCGCTATCACCGGTGCTAGGAGCTCGGTGAGAGCTAGCGACCCCTGTTCAGCAGCCATAAGCCTAGCATGCGCGATGACCTCCGGCTTCAGCTTCATCCCAGCCTGAGAGCAGAGCAGACGCCGTACAAGGTCAATGTTCCCTTCAGCAAGCAGGACAAAGAGCAAGGGCTGGGCTTCTTCGGGATCAAGGGCGTCAAAGTTGCCTCCACCCCCTGCCGCGGCTCCCGCGGCCGCCTGAGTCTCGCGTGCGGCGGAGATATGGTGTTTTTTCCAGTGCCTTTGTCGGCTGGCTTCCGAATCGAAGCCAATGCTGGAGAACTCGCAGCTCGGAACGACGCATTTCAATGGCCGGCCGTGGTTCTCAATATGTTGATCGCGTTCGTCGGCTGAGTAAAAGCCACGTCGGCTTCGCGTACAGAACACGTACGTGCATCGGAAGAGCTGAGGACCGTATTGCCGTTCCAAGTCTGGACAGCAGTCTGGCATAGACAATAGGATCTCGTGCTGCTCCCGCAGCCGAATCAACATTTGTGACGTGATTAATGGATCTTTGTTTATCCACGACTCGTCTGTTGGTCATTCCCATGGTCAATAACGGAGCGATACGGCGGATTAACCCACAGTGGATGTTGATCTGGCTTACTATTTTTCATGTTCCAGCCCCATCGTCTCTCATCCGAGTGAAACGTTTTGGCTCCACATAAAATAGCGTTCGAATCTAAGTCTTCATCATTCACGCGAGACCACTTCTGATCCACCTTAAGTCCCTGCAGAGGTTCCTTTGTGACAAAATCGAAATTCTGGAGTTTCCGGGAGACTCTCTCCAGCAAACGACCCAACAACTTGTCCCTTTGAATATCAGTCTTTTCTCGCTTGACTGAGATGATATCGTGAAGAAGAACCGGCCAGTAGAAGCTCGCATAATCGAAAAGTCGAAAGCGGCCGTGCCGTATCTGTTCTTGAATATCCCCCTCATCTCCGTCGAGGTCGACAATTCCGGACGTGAGATAGGCCATCAAACTATTTAGCAAGTCGATAGTAGCGACGTGCTTATCTATATAGTGCGAAATACTTGGACTGAATAGGTATCTGTCGCATTCGTCAATATCATGCGTCAGCAGTTTTTTCTTTCCAAGACATTGATTGGAGTCTCGACTAACACCTCGACTGTGAAATGAACAAACTGCAGTTTTCCATCAGCAACTTCAATGATTGGACCACAAAGTTGAACAAAATCAACACTGAGAAGATCAGGGGTGACTGCACTGGTCATTCGGCCATTTTCATCGGGCTCAACAGATAAAGCCTGTTCCATCTCCCAAACGGTCAACGGAATAGGCGCACATCCAATCCAGCCCAATATCTTCCTACTTCGCTCACGTTTTCGTGTAGGAAGGTCACTTATTCTTTGCAAAATGCGGTGATATCTGGGATAGGGGTCGTTAGGGTCATTCGGTCTCTGGCATATGACTTCTATGGGATCGTGCTCACGCATCGTTCAGATCCTCGGGAAGAGCTTTGAGTTCGCGGCGAATGTCATCAAGGCTGACTATGCCTTGTAAATTGTCCAGCACAATTCTCGCATATAGGAACATGCCTGAGCGTGAAAAGGCAGCTCTAATCAGCATACAAAAAAAGGACTGCTAAGGGGTCGACATCATGCATTACCCACCTGCAGCTTTAGCGGCCAACGGAGACAAAAGGCCACGCAATTCAGTTTCCATGGAGGGACTACAACCCAAACTATTGATCCAGTCGTGGGCTCGGTGGTCAACGTAGTGCTGAATGCTTCCCGCGTTCCGATCATTCACCTTGATTGCGAAAGCATTCTTCTCGAGTTTCCGTGAGATATCACCTTCTGGACGACAGCTGATCAGAATCCGCAAGTCGCGACATTCCTTCGCTATCTCTTCCAATCGCTCTAGTAGGACCTGTCTCTCATGCTCATCCATTTCATCCAAGCCATCGATCATGATATACGTTTGACTTGCTGTTTTCAAATAGGCCTTTAGAAGCTCGGTCACGTACAGCGTGTTCCCGCGCAGTTCGCGTTCCTTAGCCTCCACCAATATAGCCTGCAAGTCTCGATCCTCCTCTGCAGCCTGGAATATCATGGACTGGAGGACCCCTAGCGCAGTTGTAGTCTTTTTCGCTGCGTGACTCACCAATGCGAACAGAACCCGGTGACGCTCACGGGAACGACCCACAGCTGCAGCGCACAGATATGTTTTCCCCGCCCCTGGCATGCCTTGCAGCCAAAGGTACTGAGGTGCCTGCGTTGAAACATCAAACCACTCAGAGAATGCAGCGTCCCGGAAGAGCCACTTAGCACAGCCGGCGACTGATCGGTTCCGGATCCAATCTAACCTGTCATCAAATAAGAAGGGTGCGACCTGACCTTTCAGACCAGTAAACCTCTGCCGGCTATGTGATGTTTGCATCTCTGAGAACTGCTCCAGCGATTTCACGCGAGCCTTTTGAGCTTCACTAACGTCAAGAAGCGTGACCTCGTTCCTAATCAGGGTCGCATGCAACTCGATATTACTCACTACCACATCGAGTTTCTTCTGGTAGCTAGGCCAGATTGCCTCAAACATTTGTTTCCAACCTAAGCCGTAGTAAGCGGGCGGATACTGGCATGTGTATAACTACCGGAAATAAAGGGATTTACTCACGCCGCTTCCGGAAAAAGTCCAGGTTCACACGGTAAAATTCCAGGAGATCCCCGTAGAACAAGGCCATTGCGGCCCGGATGGCGTCACTCCACTCAAAAACGCTCAATGCCATGGCGAACTGAGGAAGAGCGTAGCCGACCTTCACCATTGTGTCTGCCACCCGGTCAAAGGCGCTGGTCAGCTGACTGGACAACTGCAAAAGCAGCTTGATCGGGCCCCAGATTAGCGCGAGTTCTGGCTTGACTTGGAGTAAGACTTCGATGACTGCACTATATGACGATAGGCGCTCGAGGAAGGGTCTAATTCGGGCGAGATTTCGGAGGCCTGCCTTGCCTGCAGCCTCTTCTTGAAGCTTCGCAGTCAAATTGTAGACTTCGTCGATGCTATTTGAGGCGAGGATCTCGTTATAAAGATTGGGATCGTTCAAGTGGCTGCGGAAAGACTGCTGGGCCTGGTGGAAGATCTCCAGAGCCGGGTCATTAAGTGCCATGATGGTCTCAGGGAGATAAGTGGAGTTGGACTGAGAAGCCTGCTGATTTCGTCGCGGCGAGGAGATCGACTTATATTTAGCTGATCGTGTGCAAAAGACACTAGAAACGTGGCAGTGAAAAATAAAACAGGGGTCTCCAATTGGCTCAAACTGCTCATTTCGAGATCCAGCAACTGCGCCACCCCAAGTTCCGCACTAATTTGGTTCAAGTGCTAGTCAGGGGTGCGCTAGTTGGTGATAAAAAGCGTTATCGGAACCCTCTCCCGCCTTGAATTTCCGGCAGCGGCAGCAGTCGGAAGAAACATCCACGATGACCATACCAGGGAAGCGAAGCTGCCATCCTCAACCGGCGGAAAGAGGTGCCAAAAAACCGAGACAGGATCTAAATAACTCTGAAGCCACTGTACGCGGCAACTTCATAGACTTGACGCTCAACGATGAGGACAACGATCAAAACGCTCATGTGGCAGGCGCTTTGGAAGTGACCTCCTCCAGCACGGTCAATGGGTCTTTAATTGACCAAACAAGCCGTCCTTCTCTCTCATACTCTCCTCATATAGTGGATAAGCTCTATGATACTTGTTTTGGAATGGTGATCAGAAGCAGATATTATAATATTTCCTATGAAAGATAGGCTGACGGATCCTCCCAGCTCTGCATGCGTGCAACCGCCTCCGATGAAGGACAACTACCCGTCGGATGTACCCCTGCAACCCTCATCTTTAGCCGTGATGTGGTGCGCGTCAAGATAGGTACTGAGAAGCGCGTGGCGATTCTCGTTACCAAAGCGCTGTGGTCTTTGACCACCAAATTTGCTGTTACGCTGCACGCGACGATCTGCGGCCGAAGACCGAAACTAGCTGCGACCAAAGATAAGTTGAGCAAACGTACTAACAGCCTGATTGCCACTACGAAGATCAAGTATTACTCGCTCCGAGTCTTCATTTACGGATTTTCCGGGCAAAAAAAGGAGATCGGAGACTATCTGGCAGGAAAGGAGTTGTTTCTGCAACATCCTCATCCGTTGGAGATCGATAGCGGCGTAAAGTATTTGAATCCCCAATACCTGCTCCCACCAGGTAAGGAGGAGATGCCTCCACCCAGCCAGCTATCAATCGCGACGTGTTGCGCGGGTCGTGAGAGTCCGGGAACGGACGCGCTGAGTGAAGACATAAGGGCGAGATTATACCAGATTCTCGATACCGCCTCGGCTAACCGGGGGATAAAGTTGGCTATTCAACCAAGTACCCGTCTTACAACGGTGCTGAAAAGGTCTTTGCCTTTTCCAAGTCCATATCACGGGACACTCTCCACTAACTATGACGCGATAGGCATCAACTCGAGGCGCTGATCATGATGGTGGAGAAGGAGACAAGGATCTTTGAGGACTCTCAATTTCCATCTATTTGGCTACCTTTCAGAAGCCCCGGTGGGGTGATTCGGTAAGGCCCCCTCATTTTGTCACGTTCCAAGCATTAGAGTGAAGTTCCAAATATCAGCAGCTGATCTCCGATAGATACCAGAACATAGTTACCAAGCTGTTCAGTATGGAGCGGCCTGCGCCCGTCGGGGGCGGGATCCTGGCAGACGTATGAGTATTTCCGAGTCCACGGCACACAACCTTTGTCTGACGGTGCACAGGATATGGGATTAGGGAAGACCCTGTCAGCCCTTGCGCTTGTCTGCAACTCGCTCGATCGGCACCAGGAAAGTGCCCTGACTGGCGTTCCTAAGGGCACCCTAATTGTGACGCCTAAGTCAAGTATGGTTCTGCCGGCTCTCTGGAGCTCAAATCCTCATAGGAAGCATGGTTAACTCTCGATAGCAATATACGGATGGGAGTCACAAATCAAAAGGTGGGAGCTTTTTTGCTTTTGGCCTCAACTAATGCTTTTTCTCAATTTGGGGTATACAAAACATCCAGGCTGATTCTTGCTAGGCATATCCATCCGGAGCAGATACAGTGGCTGACCTACCATGGATATAAACGTCACGAGCTGGATAAGAGCCTGGATAAGTACGATGCTGTGCTGACTACCTACGACATGCTAAATGCAGAAGGGGAAGAAAGCTCTTTGCTCAACCACGAGTGGCAACGAATAATTCTTGACGAAGGTTTGTATAGCTCCCGGGCTTGTCCCCTCCACCCGTTATAGTCGGGTCTCACGCTAACATTGCGTGCCGTGGAAAAATTTGAACAGCCCATCGAATACGAAACTCATCATCAAAGACATTCCGCACCGTCTCCTCCCTGCAAGCCCAATACCGGTGGTGTCTCACCGGCACACCTATCCAAAACCGCCTGGCCGATTTCGGTGCGCTACTGGAATTTATACGGGTTCCGCCGTTCGAGTCCCCAGGTTCATTTAATAGGCTGATAGTGGATTCCATATCGGAGAATAAAGCCAGAAGCTTTGACCTTCTGAGGAGCGTGGTTACTGCAACTTGTTTACGACGAACAAAAACAAGTTATGCAGCAGAGCTCCGCTTGCCCCGGAAGACCGAGCTAGTCGAGAGAGTGCACATGGATAAAGAGGACAGGGAACTCTATGAGTTCTTCAAGCGCTATTCCTTCCTCACAGCTGGAAAGGCAGTATCGTCACAGAAAAGGGCTGGAACTAACATTCTTGTGCTAATCCACCATCTCCGACTGATCTGCGATCATGGTGTGGCCCTCCTTCCCAAAGCTGCCCTCATCGCGTGGCACGAGCGCGATGACACCTCCCTGACCTGGAGGACTCTGGAATCTGAGACAGTTAAGTGTGCATTCTGTGCTCAGTCAGTCGAAGAGAATCGCTCCAGTGAATCCTTGGTGGAGGAAGTGGGCTGCGGACATTTCATTTGCGAAAGTTGTACTACGGAAAACAATAGCCAGCCGTCGTGCCCCAAATGTGAAGCAACTCAATGCCGCAGCTCATCGCCGACCCCTACTAGTTTCGCGCACCCTCTTGAAGTAGGTTATGCTCCCTCGGCCAAGCTTAGGGCGCTGCTGCGCAACATCACCCAAAGTCGGAGTATCTCCGATAAGAATGGAGTCCAGACGAAATTGTATGGAACAACAGCCCTCATGATCTTTCCAATCTAGACTATAGTCGGATAAGCTGACCGTCGCACATCTAACAGTGTGATTTTCAGTTACTGGACTAAGATGTTAGACCTCATAGCGACCGCGCTCACCGAAAACCACCTGACGTTCCGGCGCATCGATGGACAATCGTCTCTTAGTGAACGCAAGGAAGCATTGAGCGTTTTCGGTAGCGATCCGCAGTGCAGAATCATGCTTGCAAGTATTGGAGCAGCGGGCGAGGGGTACGTATTCAACTATCGTTTCTCACATTCTTTCTCGAAAACCGAACAACTCTCTTATACACCCAAATCAGGATTGATCTTACAGCGGCAAGCTCTATCCATATTGTGGAACCTCAGTGGAACCCGATGGCAGAAGCACAAGCTATCGACCGCGTTCATCGCATTGGACAGGAACGAGATGTGGAAGTTGTTCGGTACATCACAAGCGAGTCAATCGAGTCGGTAAGATATGCCCTGCGCTGAACATGGCAGCGCCCTGGCTGACAGGAAGCCACCTAGTATGTTCAATGGATCCAAGGGGACAAACTCAGATTAATTAGCAGAGCTCTTTCTCCTGCCGAACAATGTGCTGAAAACGTGACAGAAAAGTGGTGGAAAGTGAGTATATATGTTTACCTTCAATCCCCCACCGATCTTAAACTACCTGTTGCAGAAGCTAATGCTATCTCAATAGAAAATGCTGCAGTATTTAAAATAGTATGTCATGGTAGTTCAAGATTCCTGTTCCAAATTTTCATACGCGAAATCGTCGAACCGTGCTAGACATTGTAACGGTCCCAATGTCTATTCCTACGATTCCAGGTAAAGATCCAGGCTGTCTATTAGTAATATGATGCCATGAGAAGTGATGCTACACACCAGCATTTGCGTGGATTGCCGGTAACCACCGGTAGGTTTCACTAGTATCTGTTTCTCTAACTTGAAATTCATGTATACTATTATCAATTTATATTAGCTTCTACGGCTTTTTCACGGTATGATACTGATGTTCAATCGCGATTACATAGATGCCGCGTATCTGTGACCGTGCGATCTGGCATTATCAATGATTCTGCGCGATTCCTTTCATTCTCTTCCTTGGGATAACTCCGAAGACGAAGTCTTCCACCGAGGGATGCATCCTGGTCGTGAGGGGAATAGCGATGTGCTGTTTCGTTGACATATCGATGAATGTACCGCAAGTGAATAAGTGGCTAGTACATAGATGGTTCTCTAAGTGGAATTTAGAGGATAAGAATATGGTAATAATGTTTGTGGAGAGGCTAAAAAAAAACTCAGGGGCAAAGCAAAAATACATACAACAGAAGGGATTCGCTGGTGGTCACCCACCCAACTACTAACCTCCCGGCGTGTGGCTTAAGTACGGCTGAGCGGACGGGAAGCCCTGTTTTCCACACCCTATGGTCGTATGTGCTTGTTTAAGGCTTCTAGAGCCTTATGACCTGTTCTTTGGTATCCCCGTAATCTCCAACAACGTCGTCTATCAAGCGCCCAGTGTCTCCAAATCCCGGAAGGGTCTGATCGGCAAAACCGGTGGTAACACAAGCCATCTCCTGTACGCGACTTCCACCTTTGCCATTGATCGCATTCACTTTGCCATATTATTGGTTTCTTAAAGATTTTATGTTGTCTCCTTCAAAACCCCCAATGCTGTCGGAATCCGGAAGAGTTCGCTAATGACCATCACTGTTATCCCCACCCCAGTAATCTTCAGCTCAAATACTTCATCATTTCAGTTGGCATTAGTCTCTGTATCCACTATAAGCCGCAAAGTCTTTCCCTTAGAAGTGTATAAGCGAGCGATGAGCTTCTCATGCTCTGCCTTCCCACGCGACGATAGGCCAGGTGGCCCTAGTTGTCTAGCCGGGTTATTCAGAGTATATGATTGAAGGAACAGCCCCACGTCAACCCAGCGGCATCAACTTAGCTCCTTACTTTGCACCAGGTGTCTCCCATGCTGTGTTTCGTGAGTACATCAAGATAAAGCCCAACGCGAGGAATTGGTCGGAACAAGGCAGAAGGCCGATGGAAGTTCTGATAAACACGCGGCGACCCCCAGAAGCCTCAAGGCCAAGGGAAACAGATATCATAAGCTAGATTCATGATAGCCTTTGGGGGGGAGGTGAGTGTGCGGGAGTAGTCAAGAGGAAAGGGGATCAGGGACAAAAAAAGAGCAGACTGTACATACATGAAAAGAAAGGCTGCAGTGAAAACGCTATAAAATGGGGAAGGCAGTCACAAAGATAAGTTACTTCGGTATGATGACAACCAAGTGAAGACACTCGAAAACAATAAATAACTGAAGAGACACGATAATTGAGAGAAAGATTGGCTGGAGAGGTAAGAAAAAGAACAAAAGATGAGATTATCCGCTATCAGCGGTGACCTCGACAATCCTTACAGCTGGTACAATCTCTATCGCAGAGTTCCTACTGAGACCTGGCACCCAATTGTTCTGCCACCAAAATTGTGGCAGCATTGAGGGCATTTGGGTGGCTTGCACCGTTGTTCTGAGAAAGCATGCTCGGTACACTTTGATTCGTTTGTATATTTATTGCATCTCTAGGAAACACTGCCGACCTCGACTTGCACCTTCCTTATCAGCGTTACGCGTACAACATATCTTATGGAGAGACACACGCGTCGGCCTGGCTGACTATAATAAAGGATTTATGTAACAGCACAGAACGATCTTTTGACTCGGATCGATGGAAAGGTAGCCAAAAAGTAAAGAAGGAAAAAAAAAATTACGTAGAAAGCACTATTGGGGAAATGAGGAAGTAGTGTCTATGGGTGCTTTAAGAAAAACAACCAAAAACAAAAAGAACGACCGAGACGTGACTCGAACACGCAACCACTGCCACATCCACTACCGGAAGGCAGCGCGCTACCATTGCGCCACCCGGCCGCTTTTGATGCTAATGAATGAGAGCTTTTGCATTATAGTCCTGAACATTATATTACCTGTCAGAGGAAGATAAAGAGTTCTGAAATCCTCACTATACACATTAATGTGTGGCAGTGGTATACTTGCAATTCAAAATAATATGAGTTTATGTTCCTCACAGCTCGGTGTTTGGTTTTGTGACTACTAGGCATGTCGTAATGAAGATTATGTTAGGTCGAGATCGACATTAGTAGTGTTGTCGGCATGACGGTGCTACTCGGTCTGTCCAAATATATAATGGGCAGTCGCAGTACTATATACTAGTAGACTTACTGTTATGTCACTCCACCAGACTCACGATCAGAACTAGTAGTCCTGCCAACCCTCCCAGAGCTAGTCGCTGGCACCATTACTATATAATCTTTTTATTTTTATTTTTTTTTGTCTGCTGAACAGTAACAAGCAAGAATGGAGACGTGGCCCAGCCATGCAACCTATGACGGTTCGCTGCCACCCATGTCGCGAGTAAATATGAATGGTCTTCCATGCATCTTTCTACTTCCACCATAGCGTAGTGAGTTCCACAAGAACCATGTCTTCCTTCACGAAGCAACTCAAGCTTAGAAAAACCAGTCTCTAAATGGAGATTCAGACCACCATTGGCAAGGACTGTCCCCGCACAAACCCGGTAGAGCCCATAAAGCTTAGCACAGGCAGTATCTCGGCTTCAAGACTACTGTATCTCATTGTGCACCAGTGAGTCATCTCCCCCTCCAGAAAAGCAGGGGTAAGTATGGTTAGAAACGCCCGGGTAGCTGACTTCTACCTACTAGTCAGAGGCCGTTTGTAACCAGTAATGACTAAGAAGGCAACACGTCGCAAGGTATCATGTTTCCAATACAGCAAGTATCAGTCACACAAACGGAGGGACCCGACAAGAAAAGTTCAATAGGCCTTGATTTTCGAGCTTGGAACTTTGCTGTATTCACTTTCACCTCTTGGCCACTAGCCCGACTAGTAATCCCTGTTTACTCCCCCCTCATCCCAAAACTCCTCGTCAACTCCATCCATCACAACTCCATCACCTCTCTACACTTTCCCCCTTATACGTCAAACCCACAACAATCCTATCACCAATAATACCCCTCTCTGCTCCAAAATGACTAGTAGCGAAGAACACCACGAAGAGACAGGCCGTATGTACCATGACCTCCACCAAACGCACGATCATACTAACACCAAGACAGAGTTTGGCACTGTCCCCATCTCCATCGACACTCTGAAAGAATTCTACATGGGTGTCCTCACTAAGATGGAAGAAAGATACCATAAGCTTCCCAAGGCTCTCGCCGTTGAGCTCAAGCTCAAAGATAATTCCGGAGAAGGCTGCTATTCCCTGGAATTCCTCGTTAGTTACACACCCGTTTCCTCATGAGAACATTGAAGTCTGACAGCATGGATGTGTTAGTTGAGTGCCACTGAGGAGACCACCGCAGAACAGAGAGCCACTACCTTTTCCACCATTCTTCATACAATGTCGGAAGAGTCGAAGTTTGAAGGACTGAACATGGACATTCGCGTCAAGTGTATCACTGTCTGAGATGTACTGTGACAGATGGGTTGATGAGGCGGGCTTCATCTACTGAATCGATCAGCGACAATCATGTTTCTGTGGGCTTGTGCGTACTCAGATATCAGAAATCTGCTCGACAATTATTACTGGGCTATGGCAGAGAATGGCTTTGTCTTGTGAGGATTGTGGAAGCTCTAGGATGCAGGTCATAATAGTGTTAGGAATCATCTGCAATGTCATATGCCGTCTCTAGCTTGAAGCACAGTCTACTTGATGGAGCAAGTCAATTCTCTTCTCAGCCCCCCAATTATTCATAGAATGAAAATCGGCTAGTTTTCTGGATAGCAGGAATGGATAATCACAACATCTCATCGAATATACTACGCGAGCGACGACTCGACGCCGATATACTACTCTTAAACCAACCGGATCGATCCCGTTGTTGCAGTCGGAATATCCAACCAGATAAATCACCAGCAACCACCCATACATCCATGCCTAGACAACTCAGATAGCACCGATACTGCTAATACACCAAACTAGGTATAATAGGGTAGTAATTCAATGGTAGACAGAAGATTAACCGAAACACCCTCATTCAATAGCCTGTAAGAGAACTTATCTGTGGGATTTAGAACACTATTGTTGTTTCAAAATTCCTAAGGATCTGAACTCATTCTAGTGCAGTAGAGCGGCATAGGCTGGGGATCAATGTGTCCTCACTCGCCTGATGAGGTGTTATGCTTTTCCATTCACTTTGTGGGTAGGTATTTAATTGCGATCGACAAAGGACTTCGAACATTGTAGCTAGAGAAGAAGACAAAACAAGTTTTCCTAAAAAATTGCAAATAAAATACGATTAAAGCTTAGCGAAAGGTAAAGTGCCAGGGAAAGGGAAAAAAAATAAAAAGAATTGAGATAGCATGTCCTGGTTTCGATCCAGGGACCTCCGGGTTATGAGCCCGGCGCTCTTCCCCTGAGCTAACATGCTGGGTGTATGAATAAGACGGTCTTTTTTAAAATCATAAGTCTGTGACAAGACACATAGCTTGAAGACTGCGAAACTAGCCAACATCTACATTGACAGGTGATTGGTGCCGAATGGGATCGTGAAATCGGCGGTCATGCTCTTGAAAGTTATTAAATTGGCTGTATCTTATGTCAGGGACAATGCAATCCAGCGCAGTTAACAATCTAAAGGCCGTGGATTTTATGCAGATCTTGTCTGCAAAGATAAACACTTGTTGTGGCCCGTGAGTCGATCGCCGTAGGGCTTTTATTCGCCTATTCCGATCTATTATCCCAGCTGCCAGGCAACAACAGATGCCCCTTACTCATGATGGCCAGCTGCTGCCTGAGCAGCCCCACTGCTTTGCGTATAATGGTAACACCGTCGAGTATAGTCCGAGCGGTACCTCGCTCTGCCTCAACATTGAACCTCGCAAATTGGTGCAGATACCTCCAACGACACCATTTAGGTGCATATCAACAGCGGCATCGGTCGCGATCAGCTGACCGAGGCTTATTATCTATATCTTTGTCCTTCTTCCTTACCGCTATTTCCTTTGACCGGAGAACTTTTTCTTATCTTTGGAGACGTTTGTTTGTTCCATCGGACACTACGAGAATACTGTCTATGGTTTTTTCCTCGCATTACACATTCCCCTCAAAGCTCGACAGCAGCTATGATACTTCGTTCATATATCACCTGGTTTGAAGACAATGACTACATCGGTCTAGAAGTTGCGTTCCCGGGCGGTTCTACCTGGAAAATAGAGAGAAAGATCAGGGAAGTCGAAGTCCTGCACACTCAAGATGACTATGAGGATTTGAATTGTACGTCACAGGCACGAGCTACGTTTGAATGCAGCAAAGTTGCTGGAAACGGTCCACCCACAGCCCTGATCAAGATTCATATGCAGTACGTCTGCCCTGCTTACTGTGCATAGATGGCTGTAAATTTAATTACAAAATGCAGAATTCCATTATACAGAACTGCTACCCAGGGGCCTTCGGAATGCGCCAAGCAGGCAGACCCTGAAATTCCCCACCTAGCTAGTAACGAGATTGAAGCTCTCACTATCTTGACTCAGGCAAAATGCTCAAGCTCCCCATATTTGATTGACTCAATGAATCGACAGCAGACAGATGGATGGGTGCTTGGGGGCTATATCCATTATATCGTGATGGAGATGCTCCCGGGTGTAACTGTGTGTGACCAGTATCGTCTTATGGAGCGCAAGGAGCGCGATGAGCTGCGAGAAGCATTCAAAAAGGCTTGGATGTAGGTTCTCCTCGAGAAACCATGCAGTTCAAGGAAGTTGATCCGGCTCCGTTCTCATATTCAGTGAATGCGTGTCCTACGGGGTGGAACACGGGGACTCTGGCTCACAGAATCTTATCTGGGATAGAGAAAGGCAGAAGTGGTCAGTAATAGCTCTTCCTGTCCACAATATGATTAGAAACCTTCACTATCACCCGACGTTCGCCAATCGGGTACTTATGATTTGCATTATCTAGTTATTTGATCGATTTCGAGATGTTTCATTCCCCGACTAGCAAATCAAGAATCTGGCGAGATATGCGATATTTAGGATGGCACCTTGCACGAGTTGGAGATGACGATAACTATGATGACATGTCGACTTGGATTTTATAAGTCACATTTGTGAAGACATTACTGATACACCATGACATTATCACCCCTCTCTCTTCATTCCGTTATATTATCACTCATTGTGCCTTCCTCACAGCACGTAGCTATCTGCCTCATATGATATGCTTGGCCTATCTAGAATAATTTTATCTCATAAACTTGTTTTTCGGTACGAAGGCATGTGGTATGGATCTGTACCCTCTGACTGATATCTGGCTAGGATGTGCGAACCGGATTAGCATACGAGAATGATATCGACGTCATTCATCAGGTACCGGGCCAATGACTATCTGTCTACTTGGCATTTGTTCTCCACCCAAAGCGACTTATGCTCTAGTAGTGCGTAGTTAAATTTAGTAGTCCTAAACTTAGTCCATGGCCACGTGAAGCCTTGCTGGGCTGTAAGCGCCTTCCCCCGCTTTTCGCCCTTACAGCACCACAGCCATCAACTATAGTACTCTGCGAATCGCTCAATTACACAATCTGGCAGCCTGCAAAGGCACTGAATACCACCCGTCCCAAAATATTAGATTTGACTCATCATGATAATCCCCTCCAACATCATTTGGTTTGATGACGATGATTGGCTGGGCTTAGAGCTTTCTTTCCCGGGGGGTACCTGTTGGGAAATCACGACGAAAATTAGGGAGTGCGAAGACCTCTATTCACAACAAGACCATGAAGAGGGTGGGATTGTTTCCGAGGCTCGTGCGGTTTTTGTTGCGTCAAAAGTTGCCGGGCAAGCTCCGCCAACCGCAGTACTTAAGATCCATATGCAGTATGTCCTCTAGATAGTGTGTTTTGTGAGGTATAGACGACTGAACTGGCAGAGAGTATAGGGTACCATGGTGGGGAAGTGCCACTAAGAAGCCGTCTATCCGGGCCCAAGAGGTAGTTTCGGAGCCCTCAACAAGGGGCGAAAATGAAGTTGAAGCGCTACGTCTCCTAACAAAAGCAGGATGCTCCAGCACCCCAGCTCTAATTGACTGGATGAATCGCAAACAGACACAAGATCAATCGATTCCTGGTGGTTATATACATTTCATTGTCATGGAGATGGTACCGGGTGTCGATGTATGCTCTGTTATTGATGATATGGATAGAGGTGAGCGGGATGAGCTGAGGGCAGCCTTCAAGAAATCATGGTTGTAGGTCACCTGAAATGCCTCTTTGCGAGGACTCAACCTAACTCAACTATTATCACAGGGAATGCATTTCTTACGGAATAACAATTCTCGACCGTGGAGCAAAGAACCTTCGGTGGGATGCGGCAAGGAAAAAGTGGTAAGTCATATACGTTTTGTGACGATCATTAGGGCAGTGGTACCTGACACTTTGGGACAATGCTGACTTCGCGGATATCTCAGTTATATAATCGATTGGGAGAGGCACTGTGCTCCAGAGGAGGACGGGGATTCAACTTGGCGCGATGCCAACTATTTATCGTGGCATCTGGCATGGAAGGGGCCAAATGGAACACGCAATGACATGTCGACCTGGGAATTTTGAATCAACTAGCACATTACAGTTGACTCATTCATATCTGAAGATGCTCTAACAGGCGAGCGATCTCAGAGTTTTCTCTTCAAAAGGCATTCAATTTGATATGTGGTGGTCCACTCTTTGGAAGCCTGTTTACCTGGAAATCCCTTTGCATCATAAAGTCAGATGAATCAATTATTCTTACTAACACTTACATACCGGACTAAAGATAAAATCTAGCCACACATCTATCTACTTACCCCCCGTAAGCTTAACATAAGCGGACCCAAACTCCTGTTCCCACTTATCCACAAACTCGCGACTCATACCAGGAGCAATGACCGCATCCCCACGCTCCAACCCCTCCTTGAAGTAATCCATAAACTCCTCCACCGTGAGAGCATTAGGATTCTTATGCTTCTTATTATCATCGGGATCCTCCCGGTCGCGATGCAAATCCGTCCCCACCGACGGCGGCGCAACCTCAACCACCTTAATCTTATCAAACCCGCCGCTCGCCAACTGCGACCGCAGATTCATCGACCAGAAATGCAACCACGCTTTCGTGCCATTATACACAGGATTAATCACCGAGAATGGGACAAATGCCAGAATGGAAGAGACGTTCATGATCATAGCGCTTTCTTTACTCTTGAAGTGCTCCAACAGCCCCAGAGTCAAGTGCATAGGCCCTCGGATGTTGATGTCGATTTCCTGGTCTGCTTTGGCGAGGAATTCAGATGGATCATCTTTTAGGACTTGCAGAGGCCGCTGAACGCCGGCGTTGTTAATTAGACAGTCGAGATCGGGGTGCTTTTTGATCAGCGATTCGATGAATGTCGGTATTTGAGAGGTGACTCCCGTGTCCAGGACGTAGTAATCTGTCGCTCCGATCTCCTTCGCTGTTTCACGTAGTGTGCTCTCGGTTCGACCGGCAATTATGACTTTCTTGCCCTTTTCGAGGAGATAGGAGGCGATGGCTTTGCCGAGGCCGCCTCCGCCGCCGGTGACGAGGGCGCAGGAGAAATTCAGGTTCGACATGGCTAATAGTTTATCTTGATTGATGAGATGCAATGTCAAAAGCTATGTATGGATGGTAGGTAGGGCAGGGATTTGAATGAAGTTGAATTGATCGGTGAACTTATACTCTGCCGATATGATTTCACCGGCTGTGACGTAAGTAGTATTGCTCCAAATTCCAGATTTGGCAAAGATTTTGTGCCTGTCTCGGACTCGGAAGCGGTTTGCCGAGTTTTCTCGTAAGCATGGTGGACCGTCCTCCGAGAATCGGTGTGCCCGTCCGAGATCTCGGAACACTTTGATGCCGGAATTACTCCAGTTTGGGGATCGTATTTGTCAGACATTGCAGGGTCTTCCAGTTCTCTTCTCCAATACTCCAATTATAGGCTTCGTTTATGTGTACGTTTCCGAGTCCAGAGGCATCTTGGCGTCGCGCATCCTTATGGAAAATTGCGGAGACCTGTGAGTCTTCGGTCTTGGTAGAGCAGCGGTAATAGCGCAGGCTGTGTCTACTTGGTAGATGTATGTACCATTCAATTAATAAATATGGGAATCATGACTCTCATAGTGTGCATGGTATATCGAATGCTGTTGGGGGCGAATGTTGATAGGCCTGCTTGCACTACTTATGGAGACTTTGAGTGTCACTAAAAGCGGCCGTTGCACCCTGCAGGAGGGCACGATTATGCTGATTTGCTATGTTATATGAGTGGCTTATTGTTGGTTATATTAATGCTGTGTCGTTGGATACTAACAAAACAGCAGTAAGTATAACCAGCCTTTATCTGTCAACGATCAAGAACGTCGTCGTGAATTAATATCAACTCTCAGTAGAAGGGACCTCGAAATCTTCCAAAAACAGCCACTTCCCCTTATTCTTTAATCCAGCCTCCCTCCACTTATCCAATGATCTCTTCGGGAAGAACCAGCCATTATCACCATCCTCCTCGCCCTTGAAGATGGACAGCATGGTGTGGTCATGAGCAATAAGGACCAGAACCTGCTCACTAGCGTCGAATTCCGCTATTCCATTTACTGACCGACAGCACTCATCAAAGTCATGAGTATAGTCTGGAGCAGGTATGAAGAAAGGCGTATCGGTGCTTCCTGGCTTGTACCCTAGCTGGGCGAATATATGACCAGGACAGACTGTCCCGTACTGCGGATGAGACGGCAAAGGGGAGGGTTGAATGATCTCCGGAATAGGACTCTGCTTGGTGGGTCGAAACTCTCCGGGATGGTGAGCACAGTCCTGATGAAGTTCTCAGTGAGTTTAGCTGTTTCACTACACAGAGCAGCATAGATAGAAAGTTAAGAAGGAAGACCTACCGCTCCCATCAGAATAAACGAATCTGACTGTACTCTCGCGAGGCCGCACATATGTTCTGGAGTGTGGCCTGGTGTATGCAGCAGATAGAAGCTCCCATCGCCAAACCAGTCGATTGCTTTGAATCTCCCAATCGTAACCTTCCCCGGGTGTTGGTCAAAGTCCATCTCCCGCAGAGACCGTCCTCTCCAGTCGGATGATCTGACTGGCGCATCTGGCTTTTCTGGGTACCCTGGTGCAAATCTGCTGATGAAGGTCGGCCCCACGACCAAGTCTGTAGTGCTGGGAAATAATGAAGGGTCACCAATATGGTCAAAATGGTAATGAGACCAAATTATAGCATTTATTTCCTGCAATGGGATGCCATTTTCGACGAGAAGGTCAGAGACACTGCGGGGAGAGTAGACTGTCCATCCACTTTCTGGGTCCGTGCAGATTTCTCTAAATGGCGGAGCGAGGTTCTGAAAGTCCTTTCGAAGAGAGAGATCGAACAATAGTCTCTCCCCGGAGGGGTGAGTGATCAGAAAAGAATATGATGGCACCGCCAGTCGGTCATAGCCTGGAATCTTGGGGGTCATGAACTGCTCTGCGGGAAGATCCAGACGTGCACCACTGTGTACCTGATTAGTGATATAGAAGGATAATAAAGGGTATTAGGAACCACACGTGTCAATGAGAGAAACCGAGACTGTCTCTGCAGAGGATGGCAACTCAAGTCCTGATTGCGAAGCTGCCATATTGATCCAGTCAGTATGGTGAATGACCCTGTATAGGCAATTGCTCTGGATGTGTGAAAAAGATGAATCGTCAATTCCTAGAATGCGTAGAACTACCAAAGGATACTAGGATGTGGATAGAACAGCAATGGAAACGATGCAACGGCGGGGTTCGAGAAGTGCGGCGTCATCCTTGCCACTCTCCACCTTACCCGTGGCGCTATAATAGACTTACTATGAGCAAGGAATCCATGCTCGGTGTGGAAATGTAAGAACTTGACTACAAGGGTAAAAGAATTATCTTCAAAAATAGCAATTGTTAGAAAGTCGTATCATTCAGGGGCCATATACGGCAGGTACAATTGTAAAGTTTGGCCCCCAAATTGGAGAAGATGCAGATCGTATACGAAACGCTTATAGCCGATTTAGGCTACATGATGCCTGTGAATAAACAATGAATTTGTCATGGTTTAAGCTTAGACAGCCGGTCCCCACGTGTTGGGGAAATTGGTCGTATAATTGTTCGGCTCTCGGCCGATCCTCAAGCTTTCCCTCGGCTATGACCCCCGTGATTTCTGTAGCTACTCGCGGAGCTGAGGGAAAAGGAGCGCCGAAAGTTTTCCCGGGAAGGTTCTACCGACACATAAATCAATTCGCAATTGCGGTAATTCTTTCACGAATGGGTTGCGAATAACTGACTTATCGGATATCGAACAATTAACTGTAATGCATAATACCATCGGTGTTGTTCCGAACCACACATTTTGTTTTCTTCCCACCAAATTCATAGCACCAGATTGGGAGGCATGCAAATGTCAAATAGGAGTAAGTCTAATACTCATAGGGACCTCTGATCCCCTATTTTGAGCACCTTTCTACTGGTTTACCAATTAAATTCGATTTATGACCCACAAGAAGACCGTACCCATTAAGAAGACCGTACCCATTAAATCAATGAAGGGGCTCTGACAATGGGCAACCCTCAAGCGTTGAAAGGAAGATGCGAGATCATTGCGAAAGAGAGAGACAGAGAGAGGAACCACTTTATCGGCCGTTATATATGTCATCATGTAACGATTGACCTAATGAAGTTCATATGTAGTGCCAAGATTGAGCCATTAGCCCTGTCTTGCTTCGCTTTGGGCTTCTGATCATATTGGGACACCATCGCCGGTCATTCGCGACAGATGGTGACATAGTAAAATTTAGAGAGAACGCAGTTGGGAGACAGTTAGAAATTGGAGAACCACTATTTTATATTGTGGAGAGAAAGTCTGCGCGGATATTCTGCAGCTGGACATGCGAATAACGGGATATGGTACCATGATGCGGAAATGACCTGAAAAAAAAAACTATCGTCAGAGGTGGCATTCAGATCGTTCGGCATACTACCGATTGGAGAAAAGCAAAAGATTGCTAATTCTCGCATCAGATATACAAAATTTCTACGTAGCCCATAGACGCCCCGAGGTTTTGCCTGTGAGCTGCGTAAGAATGACCGGGAGGAGTAAGGTGACTATATGTATTGAAGGCCGGGATATTGTTGTCGTAACCTCAGCCTAACAGTATCCACTATAGTTTATAAGCTATAGTTGCACGACTAGCAAAAAGCTTAGAATGCTTGACGTGGGACGCCACTACTTCACTGATATAAAGCGTACCTGACTGTTGCTAATTCGAAGCAAATAGTTGCAATAGAGTCGCGATGGCTATAATAATGGCAGTTTTCAAGCTGCGAACCTCTAGCAATGATACGAGGAGCGCTGAGCTGTCTCTAGGCACTACTTGCAAGATGTTCTAAGACCAGTAAGCCAGTAAGGGAGAGCGTAAGGCTCAGGAGCTGACCTAGTCATATCAAAGGCATGCCAGATATATTAGTGCTCCGAGATGAAGGAAGCACATGGCCTTGATGCGGTTAAGGTATCTTCCGGCCATCCACGAGCACGACCTCTCCCCTGGTGGCCTCACATGTTATAAGAGAATGTCTCATTGTACTTGCCTGGCTGCTTCATTGTATCCTTTAGTCTTATTCCGCCTTAGATTGAAGAATCCAGTACCCTAGATGGGGCTTGCTGGTTACCTTCCAGTGAAAGATGCCTTCTGCTTGTTGTCGATAGAATAGGACATCGGTGACAGAAATCTAACTTGCCATCTTACATTGAGCCCCCCAATAGCGGTATTTACCCAAGCGTCGCTCTGTACCAAGGCATATGCCTCTGGCCGCCACACATGTGTCCAATTAACCTTGGTTCATGAGGATCTTCAAACACCGCTTCAAAGTGTTTGAAGCGGGTCCCTACACCTGCAGAACCAATCCGGCGAAGCTCCACCTGCAGTTTATATACAAATAAGTCGCTCCGGGCTGGTATCTCTAAGCAGTAGTTGTATCCGAAGTCGAATCTACGTGGATCTTTGGAATGGAACAAACTGGTGTGTCGGGAACTCAAAGATACTTTATAGGAAGCAACTCTCTATTTCGTCCTCTGATACATGAAACACTATTACGTAGTATGTCTGGAATTTAAAAGGGAGTATATGTTCCGTATAGAGCATAATCTGCTTAAAGAAGGGCTGAGTGTGTTGTGTGAAGTCGATATTAGTGATGTCGGAGAGCGACGGTCCTAGCAGGCCCGAGACGTTTTAGAGTTAAGCGAACCTGTATCTCGGACCTTAAAATAACCTCCGATGTCCGACTCTTAGCCCCTACAGGGATGAGGGTCCAATTTAAACTCACTACTAAGTTCATGTTGGGCGTGGTACCTGTTGACTGCTTGTGGAGCAAGAGTACGTAACCTCAGACTTGAGTTTCCTCAGAAGCCCTGATGCTGCTGGCCACGGATACAAGCCAGGGCGTGCAGGAGTTTCCACCCATCTAAATTAGTTTTTTTACACAACGAGCCATATATCGCGCGCAAAGTTCACGCAATTGATGTCGTAGACTTGCTAAATTTGAAACCTGGCTTAATACAGGTGACGCCTTCTTAGACGGACCTTGAAAAATAAATGCTTTCAGGTTCGACTTTGAGGATTAATAAATAGCAAGCGAATTCCGCTGCTTCAGTCAGATCCATCCATCATCAGAACATTCCTTTTCTACTTCCCACATTCATTGCCAACATGCTTCCCAAGCTTGCAACTTTAGTGCTCGCGCCTGTATTGGCGAATGGCGTTGCTGTCGCGGCCGAGCCCTTGTATAAGAAGCCCGTCAACATCCCCGGTTACGGCTACGTGCAGGGAAAGGCTGCTGTCAACTCCAGCGTGTCCGAGTACATTTCCAACTGGGAGAACATCTCTTTCTTTGGAGGTATTCCTTTTGGTGCTGATACTTCGGGCGCAAACCGTTGGCGTGATCCCCAGCCTGCCGAGCCCTGGAACGGCACTTTCAATGCAACTGAATTCGGTGCCATCTGCCCTATCACACTCTCTATCCTGGCGGATTATGCCCAGAGTGAAGATTGCCTCAACCTCAACATCTGGACCCCTTGCTACCTCGCCTGACGAGAAGCTTCCTGTGGCCATCTGGAGCTATGGCGCCGGAACGGCACCCCCGCAAACCACCTACAACGGTGCAGGTGTGGCTGACAAGGGGATCATCTTCGTCTCCTACAACTACCGCAACGGTGTGTTTGGCTTCATGGCGCACCCAGAGCTGACCGAGACCAACGGTCGCAACGCTTCAGGCAACTGGGGTGTCCTTGACCAGTATGCAGCGGTCAAATGGGTCCACGAGAATATTGCGGCCTTTGGCGGTGACCCGGATCATATTTCCGTGATCGGCCAGTCGTTCGGCGCTGCGGCCACCTATCACATTGTGAACAGCCAGTTGACTGCTGATCTGGGTATCGTCAACGCTATCTCTGAGTCTGGTGTTCGCTCTCCCAATGACCCCAACACTGGTGTCTTCGAGTGCGCCTACACTACCTTGGATGATGCCGAGACCATGGGTGAGGAAATTATTTCCTCCCTTAACGTCAGCTCCATTGCCGAAGCCCGCTCCATTGACACTACCACCCTGCTCGACTCGACCAGCACCTACAGTCTGGAGGTGAAGCCTGTTCTCGACTACTACGCCATCCCGTCCAAGTACATCAACACTCTCGAGAAGGGTGCCGGCAACAAGGTCCCCTACATTACCGGAAACAACGCCAACGAGGATGGAGCCTCCGCCACAGTCAGCACCACCGTCGCGGCATACAAGTCAAGTCTGAACTCCAGCTACGGTGACTTCGCACCCCGTTTCTGGGCTCTCTACCCCGCCGATAACGACACTCAGGCTGGTGAACAGGAGGACCAGATCGTCCGTGACATGTTCCGCGTCAGTAGCTGGCAGTACATGAACGGCTTCTCCAACTCTGCCGACCAGGTTGACACCTACACCTACTACTGGAACTACGGTAGCGCTGCCCATGCCTCTGAGATTGTCTACGTCTTGAACAACCTGTGGGCCCAGGGTGAGGACTACTTCGAGGAGGACTACTACGTGGCCAATGTCATGAGCAGCTACTGGGCCCACTTCATGAAGACTGGTAACCCCAACACCGGCGGTTCCTACAACAATGGAACCCTCCCTGCCAAGTGGAATGCCAACTCTCCGTCTAAGAACGAGACTTTCTTGGTCGGTGCTGTGTACGAGACCATGGATACTGCTGCGACTGAGCGTGTCCAGTTGATCCTGGATTACTTTGCCGCCCAGACTCCTTACTAGGGTCGTTTTTAGTGTTTGGGTTGGTCATCAAGAATCACTTCGTGTAGAACATGTCACCTTGAATCATTTCTTGTATCCATTTCTTTGTCTCCTGTATTTATATATCTTTCTTGTCGATCGCTTATCCTGTCAGTTGAACCAATCTTTGTAATCATTTGGAGATGAATGCCATCGATGCTACTATGAAATGCACGGGTGCCTCCTTTCCGATCGAAATTCTTCTTAAGCCAGATTGTAGCCCACTCGAATCAAGTCCGTTATAGTAGACATCCCCCAACAACATAGTGGTTTCCCTGCCACCTCCAAGTAACGCAAAATGTATCCTTTTATTCTATTTTATTTTATCTTTCTTTCTTTTTTTTTTTTTTTTTTTTTTTTTTTTTTTTTGCCGTACCCCACTGTAAGCCGCGTCTATGAAGCTTTCTACCAAAGCTTCTATGTACACTTCATCCTTCAAGAACATATTAAAAAAACAGATACTACTGCTATACTAGCCAGGCTTTCTTTATACTAGTCTTCACTTATAATTTAGTATCTTAAAAATAAAAGCTTTAAAGCATAAATAACAAGATCCTGCCTCTTCTATAAATCAAGTCTCATCTTGTGTAAATATAATCTTATCTTCTTAAGTAGACAGAGAATATAGCATAAGCGAACGCCGGCGTGGAGGAAGCCTGGCTGGTGTGGCGGCAGCGCCTTCCATTGACAATCGGCCCACTTTCTATGGGGCGGATTCTACCAGGGTTCTCGTAGCCATCTTAACGCCGAGCAGCTCGGGTGGGACTGCGAGGTTGGCGGCACAGTTTCGGTTCGGAATGAAGATCCCACCGCGGATGCTGATTCCACTTGCCGCGCGGCATGGCTCGGACATGACTCAATAGAGCTACAGGGCTGTTCCTACCTCCTCGCGGGTGGCCCAATTAACAATCTCAACTCAGAATTAAACTATTATGTGATCATAGGATCTGTGCGGAATACGTTGCGGTAGAGACCCTGTGTTACACAATGTCCTCTAAAGAATTCCTTCCATTTTAGGACGATGTGGGGACCTTGAAAATAGTGAATCATGTAATAAGATGGATGAAAGTTCGTTATCAGTCTACTTGACTAAATAGAGACAAGCCAGATATTATATGCACTACTCTGAATATTAACCAGCAAAGTTGGTTAAGAAGTACTTGATTAGTGAAGCGTAAGCTGATAAACGAAGATAGCGCCCACGTGATGCGACGGTTTAGCCCCCACGGCGCCTGCATCCTTTCGGCAAACAGCTGCACGTCAGCTAATACTAGAGTTGTGCCGTTGACGTTTTGAATCCTCATCCCACAGGCTGCCTCGTCTAAACGCGTATAATCTGTGCTCAATTCCACTCCCCAAATTCTTCTCGTCGCCCCCAATGTCATCAGCATCTCCTCAGGAGCTCGCTTCACGGCTCAACCAATCTGGTAAACAACGAAAGAAGCGATGGGTCACAAGGACTAAAACAGGGTGCATAACCTGCAGGTATAACGGCTTCTGTTATTTACGGGTGGGTGAAATTACTGACTTGATAGAATCCGGCATGTAAAATGCGACGAAACCAAGCCGAGGTGCGTAAGATCGACTCAATTCCCTGAACCGTATCCATTGACAGGCCCGTAATATAGTTGTCAGAGATGCACATCTACTGATAGGAAATGCGATGGATACCAAGACCCGCGCGCCAAGCAGATCATCCGCCGCAAGGCCGAGTCACCCCAGCCACATGGCATGCTGCAGGTACCATCGGCGTGGAGTTTTATTGGCGACAAGCCAATAGACCATGAACATTTCCACTACTTTCAAGTAGTTACTGCTCCCACCTTGACAGGTTTTTTCAACTCAGGATTTTGGTCATACACCTTGCTGCAGGTTTCTTACTCCTATCCGGCTCTATGGCATGCTATCACCGCGCTGGCTTCCTTGCATAGAGACTTCCTGGAGGATGTGGCGCCACTTGCAATTACAAGGGCTTGTAGTACGGCCAGGGTGCGATTTGGCTTACAGCAACATACCAAATCCATACAGGCCTTACGGGAGTTGATGTCGAAGCCGCGTTTGACAATTCACGATAAGATGGTCATTTTAGCAACGTGTGTGATATTTATCTGCCTACTAAGCTTGCAGGGGTTTCATTCACAGGCTATGGCACATGTTTCCAGTGCTATGGTTCTATGTCAGCAGTGGAATGGAGACTTCCAGACCCATTCCCATGCATCTGAGGCTATAGCCTCTGTGATACTTCTTCTAGCCCAACTCGACAGTCAGGTCCGCCAGATCTTTCTAGTTCAAGGATTACCAGTCCCTTGGACAACCCAATTCAAATTACCTGCCTTTGAAGGGTGTTTTACGTCCCTCGATGAAGCACACGTCTTCCTGGAGGTCAAGGTCAACAACAATGCATTGAAGCTTTTAACAAGCGGCATTGAGATACCTGCACCTGAAGCGCTTGCCAAGAAGGAAGATTGTCTTCGTGAGTTTCATCAGTGGAATTCTAAATTAGAAACATATCTTGCCGGTTCACCCCATGAAAGGGGCACCACAGCCGCGAACGTTCTCTACTTACGCCGTTCTTACGCCAAAGTGATGCTGTCATTAGACCCAACGAAGGGCGAGCTCGCCCACGACGAGTTTGTCGAGGATTACGCGCAAATGCTTGATCTAGCAAGCAGAATTCTCGAAGGCTTCAACAACTCCTCGGCAGAAAAGTTCGATACAGGTTCGACACCAGCAGAACGGCACTTCAGTGTAGAGAGTACAGTGACAGAGACCCTGTTCCTGATTGGGGTTCGATGCCGTGAACCGACAATACGAGAACGGGCGCTGGAACTCATGAGACTCTACCCACGTCGCGAAGGCATGTGCGGTACCATGTTAGCTCTGAAACTCGGGGAGACGCTTACTGGACTCGAAAGGACAGCATGTCAGACTTCCCCACCGGGGTCGTGCAGTGAGGGACCATGGGTGTGTGCTGATCATCGGGTGACAAAGATACAATGCAAGGATGTCTCTGATCGGAAAGTTGCTATACTGTTGAGAACAGCTGGAGAGCAGAGATGGGGTTCAGAAGGAAAATGGTTCACGTTCCATAAGACATGGTAGCTGCGTCATGCTTTCCCATCATTTACTCTATAGATAACGGCAGCTTCTAAACAAAAGGATGTTAAAGATTAGCCATGATGTATGACTGTTTTCGGACAAGCGTCTACTGATATCAGAAATATTCGAATAATCAACTAATGTGGCCAGCTGTCATGTTGATAATTATCTGCTGATGATAGCGGAACTATCGGCATTCGGCCCGCGCAAGCCTTTGTTATCTGGCAATCCGTCAGATAAGCCACGCGGTTATCAGACTTTATCGGTCTTATCGCCTTGGCTTTCCGCTGGCTTCCCCGCAATTCCCCGCTCGCGATGATGCAGGTATAAAAGTCAACCAACAGCCTTTAAACGACCTATTTTACTGCAATCAATTGGGACGAGAAATACGTGCAGATCTTAGCAACAATGACTCAACAGACACCCAACTACCCTCTCCAATCAACTGCGGCGATCAACGAAATAGGCAAGGTCATCGACGATGCCAGCGAGGAGCTACGCAAGCTGAATCTCGAGGTCACTACTCCACTTTACGACTCACTCCGAACAATGTTGACGGTTTCAAAACGACTAGATATTCAATAACCCCGAGATTGCTTTTCAAGAAGTCAAAGCAAGCAAGTTACTCTCTGACTGGCTCGAAAACCGCGGCTGGACCGTTCAGCGCGGTGTCTACGGGATCGAAACCGCCTTCGAAGCACGATTCTCCGTCAAAGAGGGCGGTCGAACCGTCTGCTTTAATGCAGAATATGGTACGCTCTCAGTTTATTACTCTTCATTATGCTGTACCTCAACTACAACGCAGACTAATCACCTACCCCACCCCAATAGACGCCCTCCCCAACATCGGCCACGCCTGCGGCCACAACCTAATCGCAACCTCGGCCGTTGCCTCCGCCGTCGCCATCGAACACATGATCAAAACGCACAATCTCCCCGGCACCGTCGTCGTAATGGGTACCCCGGCGGAAGAATCCCAAGGCGGGAAATGGCTGATGGCACAAAACGGCGCGTGGAAGGGCTTCGACTCCTGCGTGATGACGCACGGTATGGCAGATTTCAGCACCCCGGTATGCTGTACTAAGGCGTCATGGAAACTGCGCGCCAAGTTCTATGGCAAGACTGCGCATGCGGCGGGGGGCCCATGGACAGGAATAAATGCGTGCGATGCGATTGTGCAGGCGTATAATGGGATTGCATTGTTGAGACAGCATATTCAGAAAAGTGAGAGTATTCAGGGGTGTATCCTGGAGGCGGGAAAGGTGGCGAATTTGATTCCGGATTATGCGGAGGGAGTGTTTAGTGTTCGGGCTAAGACGGTTAAAGAGGTCGAGGCGTTGAGGAAGAGAGTCGAGGGGGTGTTTCATGGTGCTGCTGGGGCGACGGGATGTAGGGTTGACATGGAGTGGTGAGTGTTCTTTCCTTTCACATTCGTTGTTCTATTTACTTTGGTGTGCTATCAGTGATCGCGGTGCTGACTGTGGCAGGTTTGCACTCTACGAGGACGTGGTGACAAACGATACTCTCGCGGAGCAATACAGACAATATATGCTACAGCATCTGGGCTTACAACCAGAGCAGATGGTGCCTTTGAAAGAAGCCAGAACAGTGCATGACTCGGCAGGAAGCTCGTGAGTTTCCCTTTTCTTCCTTTGACAAGTTCGGCGGAAGCTAACTACAACACAGCGACTTCGGAAGCTGCTCGTACATCTGCCCCGGTATCCAGGCTTTCTTCGACATTAAAGCACCCGATCTTCCACACTCCACTGGTTTCCTCGAGTCTGCGAAAGGTGATATTGCGCATACAGAGGCGCTTCGGGCTGGAAAGGCCAACGCGCTCATTACTCTGGATGTTTTGACGAATGATGATTTTGCTCAGAAAA